ACTTCTGTTCAGTTTTTTTTTTTAAGCAAATAAACGAAAGATGATAGTTTATTGCTCTGTAGGATGTTGGCTGGTTTCATATCTAACTCAACAATCATAACCCAACATTCTTTTATTAAATCGCCTACAAATCCCTGTCTCCTCAATTGTTCTTGGAACCAGCATGACCATCTGGCTGAGTCAAATACGATATTTGACTTGTGAACATTCTAATTTGTATGAATCGTGTTTTTAATTCGTTTGAAATCCCTCAAACGAATTAAGGGAGAGGCTGGAGGGAGAGGCCCATATGCCACCTCAGAACAGTGCCTAGAGCCCCAGTCCCTTCTCCATTTCACTCCAGCCTGGGCAACGGAGCGAAACTCCATCTCAAAAAATAAATAAATAAATGAAATAAACCAAACTGGAGAATTCAGGAGTGCCTCCTCTCTGATATCCGTGTCTCTGCTGGGAGCACGATGCATTTAAACTACACAGGTCGAATTCTTGGTTCAGAAACCCTAGCACAGTGTCACACCCCAAAGCGATGCAACCTCTTATTGAATAATCACTCTGGTTTAACGAATCATCCGCACTTCCTTGTGGCATACTTTGCAGGAGAATGGGACGGGACTGGTGAGTTTTCTTTTTTTTTTTTTTTTTTTTGAGACGGAGTTTCGCTCTCATTACCCAGGCTGGAGTGCAATGGTGTGATCTCGGCTTACCGCAACCTCCATCTCAAGCAATTCTCCTGCCTCAGCCTCCTGAGTAGCTGGGATTACAGGCACGTGCCACCATGCCCAGCTAATTTTTTGTATTTTTAGTAGAGACGGGGTTTCACCATGTTGACCAGGATGGTCTCGATCTCTTGACCTCGTGATCCACCCGCCTCGGCCTCCCAAAGTGCTGGGATTACAGGCTTGAGCCACCGCGCCCGGCTGGGACTGGTGAGTTTTGACAGGGAATCGAAAGGGCCTCTGTGCAGCAGAGGACCAGGAGGACAGGCTGGGCTGGTATCCATTATTCTTTAGATTTCCAGTTTCCTCAAATTCAGCTCCTCCGGCTGGGCGCAGTGGCTCATGCCTGTAATCCCAACACTTTGGGAGGCCTAGGTGGGCAGATCACCTGAGGTCAGGAGTTTGAGACCAGCCTGACCAACATGGAGAAACCCCGTCTCTACTAAAAATACAAAAGTAGCCAGACGTGGTGGCAGATACCTGAAATCCCAGCTACTCAGAAGGCTGAGGCAGGAGAATTGCTTGAACCTGAATGGCGGAGGTTGCAGTGAGCCGAGATGGCGCCATTGCACTCCAGCCTGGGCAACAAAAGCGAGACTCCATCGCAAAAAAAAAATTAAACTCATCCTAGGTAAGGTCTTAGTGTACATCACAGAGCATGTCAGGCTTCCCCTAAAATGGGTGGGGCCAAGGGAGTTCAGGTGACTCCTCAGGCAGAACCCAAACCTGCAATCCTTTGTTTTCTAAAAAAAAACACTTGGAAAATTCAAGTCATCCAACCCGTTGGGGTAGGAAGGAGGGGAGCCCAGCCCAGCCATCAGCATCAGGAAGTGGCTATGCTGGGAAATTGGAGATGGGTCTGAAAGTGGGGACAGTGCTGCAGGCAGATGGTGACCCTCCCCGCACCTGCCCTTTGTAGAGTGTGCATTTGATACTGGAAGGAGGACAGGGATGCCTCTTTCACCTCCTTCACCTCCCAGTTCCTGAATGGCCTCAACTTCATCCTGATCCTCCGCTGTCACTGCGTCCCAAAGAATTTCCTGGTCACCAATGCAATGATGGTCCCTGAGCTGGACTCTGGGACCAGTCTGCAGGCTGAGCAGGCGCCAGTGGAGGCAGGGGCGTTGTTCTGAGATAGCAAGGGCGGGGCTGAGTGAGAAATGTGCTCTCTCCTGCTATTTAGCCAGGCGCCACGCATTTCAAGGTAGGGACGAGCCCTCCACTCCGTGCCCATAGCTGCGGGAGGCCCGGGCTGCCTGATCTGACCTCTGACTCCAGCTCCCCTCTGCTGCACATTTCCCCTTTCCGCTGCACCTTCTACATCAGCATCTAGCCCATACTGGGCTCTTTGTACCAGGGAAACTCATCTACCAGGTCAAGGCCCTGGAGGTCTGGGATCTTGGGGTGAGCAGAGAGGGCCAGGGGAGGCCTGAGATTTGGTCCAGAGCCCCTGCTCGCAGCAGGAGTGGGCTCTCTGCTCATTACAGTTGACATCGTTGGGACAGGTAGGCTGCCTGGAGCTGATCACCAAAGCGCTGGCAGCTGCCACCTACCACTCCCTCTACCTGTCCCACCAACTGGCTGACCTCAAGCTCCAGGACCTCACCCACTACTATACTCCAGATCTGGGCAGCCATAGAAAGGGGACACTCCCCTGGGGCCTGAGGGTTCCGAACCTCTCACCCTTGGCTGTACCCGTTGGTTTCTCCAACCTTCCTCCAGCCTCCTGCCCCAAACACACTGCTGCTGCCTCCAAGCCCTTCCTGCTTATACCTTCCATCTTTCCCAGCTGTGTGACCTTGGGCAAGTTATTTGACCTCTCTGTGCCTGCTTCTTCATCTGACAACGGAGGTAATAAGAGCACCTGTGGTATAGTTTATTATTTTTATTAAATGCAAAGCCCTAAGCACAAACACCAGTACACAGAAAGTGCTCTCTGAGCATTAGCTATTAAAATTATTATTCACCCCAGAAAGTCACCGTGTCCCCAGGTTTTTCCATGGTAATCTTCCTCATAGGAGAATTCTTTGGGGTGTAGCTGTGGCCTCTATGCCAATGGCCAGATCCTCTTGACATCTGGCCTCCTGTGGGTTCCCAGCTCCCGCCGCCAGCCTGCATAGTGGCCTCCAACACTGAGATTGATGACAGGGCCGCTGCCCATTAGCCTCCAGTGGCGCCCGGTTGCTCACCACATGCAATTTTGTCTCCCCTGCAGCAGCTCAGCCCCTCTGGAATCTGCCCCGATTTCCATTCTTCCGCCTCAGCACACCCTCGGCCTAGGGAGACAAGGCACCCCAATTTCTCCCTCTCTCCCAATTCAAACTCTGCCCCTGCTTCAAGCCCAACTTATGTCCCGCCTCCCCCTTGAAGTCCTCGGGGACTTCTCCTATATGAACATCTGCAGCAGGCGCTCTTCCTCAGCAGTGGGTCTGTATGCCCTCCTACGGCTGGGGGTGGAGGGCCCTTTGGGAACCAGTGGAGAGAAGGAACCAATCAGACGGTCCCAACACAGATGGGCCTGGTGTCTCATCCTTCCCTGTAGTTTGGAATCCAAATGCCTGCAGGCCAGTGAGCAGAGAAAAGCTAAGGAAGAAGAGTGGGCAGGGACTGTGGCCAGCGGGGACCTCATGTGTGTCTGATGGGGACAGTGGTGACCCAGCTATCACTGTGACCAGATCTTGAGATTTTTCAGCAGAAACCAGACGTCTTCTAATATTTAAATGTTGGCAAGTGATTCGACTTGAAAAACAAACAGAGAAACCTTGCCAGCTGATCAAACCACATCTGCAGATCAATCATGGCCCTCGGGCCTCAGTTTGCACACCCTGGTAAAGATCGCAGTCTCCCAGTTTGAAACTCGACTCTGCAGTTCACTCTGTGGTCGGCCACCTTCCTTCCTTGGCCTCAGTTTCCTCTTTTGTAAGCAGCTGGTCTCAGTGGCCCCTTCCAACCCACGCCCCTGTGCAGCGTTGGCTTCCAAGTGTTAGTCACCATGTGCTCCCAAATCCCCGGCTTTGGGACTGATATTGTTAACATCTACTACCCGGATGACACACGGTGAACAGGGACTTGGAGCTCCAGGCCTGGGTCACAGAGATCTTCCCAGAGGGTTTTCCAAGCCTAATGCTCTCAGGGGATGTGTCCACTGCCCCAGGGCAGCAGCCCCTTGGGTCTCAGCTCTGTTCTCTCTACCCTACTCCCATCTAGGGGTCCCCTCCACCCTGGGCCACTGTGCTGTGTTCAGTGTTTCACCATGATCATCTTCACCTGCTCAGCCCAACATGCTGCCATCAACAGTGGCCAGGTGAGCCAGTGCCAGACCCAGGGGACAAGAAGGATCATGGGAGGAGCAGAACTAGCAGCACTGGCAGCTCTGTACTGAGTTCTCGGGGTCGGTCTGAATTCAGTGCCTGGATGCCCAATATTCCTACTACCATGTGGCTTGCCCTGCCCACCGCCAAGAGCCAGACAAAACTAGCAGGCCCATTCCCTGAGGTCAATGCCACATGCCATGCCCTGGTGCTCCTCTGGGGTGGTCAGCAATGAAACCAAGGACACTATAAGCAAGGCCCAGCTGTGGGTGGCTGGGGCCTCAGCTTCTAGAAGAGTGGGTACAATGGCTACTAGGAGGGCACACTTAGCTTAGCAGGCTGAGCTCCTAGGTGGCAGGGCTTGCAGCCACTAGGTTGCCAGTGGGTGTGGTTTGGGGTGATGTGGATTCCTAGTAGGTGGAGCTTAGCGTGGTCTGGGTTCAGAGTGAGCCGGGCTTGGGGTGGTCTGTGTTTCTTGTGGCCCACAGACTTTTGTCTAGGTGGGGTGGTTTATGTCTCAAGTTGGATGGTTCTGGAGTGGTCCAGGACCCCTAGGTGGGCTGGAACTGGGTGGACTAAGTCTCCAGGTAGGGAGAGTTAAAATAGAACAGAATCGCTGTGGGCTGAAAATGCAGCCTGCGGAGGTCCCAGCCTTTCGTTCTGACTGCCTGGACACCTACCCAGAGGAGGCCCCGCAAGAGAGCATCGCCGCTTTCTAGAGTCACCTGGCCCAGATCTCTCGGGATGTCCTGGAGTGGAGCCGGGGCCTGGCACTGCCCTACTCCTACCTGGACCCCGCAACCGCGGAGAACGGGCGGTGAGAGCACCCTGCGGCGCCAGCCCTGCCGCCAGCGCTCCAGTAACTTGCCGTCCGCACTCACAGAGAGACCCAGGGGAAGGAAAGATTTTTTTTGTTTTGTGGGATTTTTTTTTTGTATGTTTTTTGTTTCTGTTTTTGTTTTTTGGGGGTGTTTTGGTTTTTTCGTTTTTTGTAGTTATTTGGAAAATAGGAGGGCACAGAATGGGGAGAGGCGAGACGGGAAGGGCAATCCTAAATGGAAATGCTGTTCTCAATCAGCACCGGGTCCAGGTAGTAGTAGGGGATGGGGAGGCACTTGTTGCGCTGGCGGATGGCGTGGGAGATCTGGTTCAGACGCTGGCGGAACGCCTCTATGCTCCTCCGCGGGGCCTCCTCCACGAAGTGGATGTCCGGGAAGTGGCCCAGGGGGCGCTGCGGGCAGAGTTCGGCAGCTGGGACCAGGGCCGGCCCCCACCCCCTCCTCCTGCTGGTGGCCCTGGTCCCTCCACCCTTTGGCTTCAGTGGCCTCTCTGTGCTCCCCCCTTGACCCCCTCCCCAGTTAACCTGCCCCCTCCCTCCCCAGCTCCTGGTCCCCGCCCTGTGCTCAGAGTCCCCCACCCCATCTCGCACCCTGTCATCAGGCTCCCGGCTGAGGGTCCAGAGCACCAGCAGCGTGATGCACGTCGTCTTCACATCCGGCAACGTGTCCAAGAAGGTCTCCAGAGTGGTCAGCCCCTTCGCTTGCATCGGTGGATTCCGCATAGATGCTGGGAAGTTGGGCATCCAGGCGGTGAACTCCATCTGGAGATAGGGCAGAGGCGCGGGTCTGGGTGGAAGAGCACCCCCCGGAGTTTCCTTCTGCCAGGCCCTCACCACCCGCCCTCCCGTCGCTGCCTCGGACTCCCTGCCCTTGGCGTTGAGGCTGGGCTGGGTTGATTAGACTGGGGCTGGGGCTGCGTGTGGGGCTGGGGTTTCCTTGAGATGAGGCCAGGGGCTGGGGCTGAGAGTTGCGTCTGAGGCTCGGTTTCCGTTGGCACTGGAGTTGAAGCTGCGACTCGGGCTGAGACAAGTTGAAGCTGGACTAGTTGGGTCTGAGATTGGAGCACGGACTAGGAGGTCGGGATCTGGGGCTGGGCCTGCGCTGGTGAGAGCAACGGTACCTGGCCTGTGTTGACAGCAGCGTGCTTAGCAGAGCAGGTGTAGATGACTATGGTGATATATCGGATCAGCTCAGGCACGGTTCGCAAGCACGTGGGGAAGCCTGACAGGCAGGGGAAAGGGCGCAGGCCGCGTCAGTCCTGCTCTGGCCCTGGCTGCCCGGCAGAGGGCGCCACCATGCCCCACTCTCCCCGTTTTGCAAAAGCTCCAAGCTGCGGCATCCCTACCCTCATCCTGCCTGGGTGACACTCCTGTGGCTGCAACCCCATTGCCCCTAATCCAGATCAGAAGGCTGTGGACGGAGGGTGGCAGGCCCTGGCCAGAAGTCCTCCAGGGCTGCTCCTGGCCCCTGCCTAACGTGTGGCCCTCAGATCTCTCTTCCAGTTTCCCTGGGGGTGCCTCTCTGGTCCAAGGTCAGGGGCTATTGGGAGAGGCAAGAGGCTTTTTTTTTTTTTTTCTTTTTCTTTTTTTTGAGATGGAGTTCGCTCTTGTTACCCAGGCTGGAGTGCAATGGCACGATCTCGGCTCACCACAACCTCCACCTCCTGGGTTCAGGCAATTCTCCGAGGCAGGAGGCTTTCTTCCGTTGCTCGGTTCCTTCGGAAGAGTCCTGCCCTGAATCAATCCAGCCCACCCATCACTGCCTTCGGGACTCTGCCCAGTCCAGATGGATTTCTCCATCTCACCCCTCTTCCCTACCAAGCTGCTGGTTTCTCTTTCCTGTTGCCCCGTGTGAACCTCAGGTTGCTTCTCTTTCCCATTGTACTGTGTGTCCTGGTTGCCATGGTGATCTCAGGTTCCAAAAGTCACATACATTCAAACCAGACCCATCATCTTCCTCCCTAAGTTCGCCTCCTTTCAGCCCCCCGGCTCAACAGATGACATACATCACTTAGCCAGCTGCAAAAGCCCAAAACCCGGAGTCGCCCTCGGCCCCTCCCTCCCCTCACCTGCCCCTCACCACCAAACCCAAATCGTCACCCAGTCCCATCATTTCTAGCCCTGGAATTCACTCTGGTGTCCCCACAAGTCCTTGTCCTAGTGAGGTCCCCAGTCTTCCCTCCTGGACACCATAACAGCTTCCCTGTTTGCTGGCTGCCAGTGCAGTCTGATAGTCTGGCATACAAGTCTGATCTCCTTGTAAAACCCTCGATGGCTCCCTCTGGCCCTTAACCAAGCCTGGCCACTGCTCGCAGCCTCAGCCTTAGCCCATTGGGAACCTCCTCCCCTCCCACCCTAAGCTCCAGTTGCAGAGACCCCGACTGCAGTAAGCAGCTCTCAGAACTCCCTATGCTCTCCAGGTTTCTTGACTTTCCATGTGCTGCTCCCATGCAGAATTCTCCATCCCCATCCTCTGTCCTCTCAAGGTTAGCCTCTCATCCTGCAGATCTTAGCTAGATGTTAGCCAAGAAGTGAGATCTCAGCTAGATCTTAGCTTGCTCCTCCTGCCCTGTCTTTTCTCCACTACCCCATCCCAAGATGGGTCAGTCACCTTCCCTGGGCTTCCCCACAACTTACTTTAGGGAAATACCTGCCACCCTAGACTGTGAACTCCTTGAGGGCAGGCATCTTCACCACCTGTCCTGTTCCCTTTTCCTCCTCGGTAATCGGCACAGTGTTGGGTTGTGGAGGCTCACTGGATATTTGCTGGATGTGTACCCAGGCAGCGGGACCTCATCCCTCTCCTGGAGCTGCCAGCTCCCCCCTGCCAGCTGCCCCTGCCAGCTCCCTGGCCTCCCACCCTTTCCTGTTGGAGCTCACACCTCATTTCACCATCCACAAAGATTTGTTTCTGAGGTGGGGCTGGGATCCCTCCAGGTCTCTGTGGAGATGACCCACAGCCCTTAATCTCAGACAGGGACCCATGGCCAGCCGTGTTTCCTTCCCCACCCTCTCTAAAGTGCCACTGCCTCAGAGGCCAGAGAAGAGCCCTGCCAAAATCCCAGGGCAGCAATTTGGTCTCCTTTAGTCCACAGTAAAATATGTTCTGATCCAGCCCAGGAGAGTCCTAGCCGACCTCCCTGGGGGCAGCCCCTCAGCCCCAGCTCCCCCTGGTTGCCCATATGCCCAGGCCCATACCTGAGCTCTCACGCCCTAGAAGGCACTCCTTAAATATCTCCTGCACCCAGGACTGCAATTCTGGGTCACCCTCCACGGCTGCATCACACGGGTAATAATAGGTGATCATCTCTGTCACATACCTGACCAGGGGACAGGGCCTCAGTTTGGATCCTCCCCTCCCACTCCTCAGCCAGGCTTCTCCCACCTCCCCCCAGGGTGTCCTGGCCTCGGTGGGCCCCAGAGCTGCCCCAGGCCTGTGGGAAGGCAAGTCCTGTGGGGCAGAAGTGGAGAGGGTGGCTTGGCAAGGCCAGAACGCACCCAGGGCACTCCCTTATAAGGGCTGGGCAAAGCCTACAGGCAGCTCAGATCCCAGAAGGGGTCTGGGCAGCAGAGGTGGGCTGGGGACCCAAGCAACTAAGGGGACTGCTGGGCTGAGGGTGCAGGTGTAATGGACACATAGACCCCAGGCCCCTTCCCCAAGGACAAGCCTATGGATGACACCAGACCCGTACTTAGGTCCCCAGAAGCTCCCTACACCCTCTCCAACACCCCAGGGCGTCCACCCTGAGAGCCACCCACTGGTGTCCCGAGCTCACCTCTCCAATGCGTTCCACACTGCCAAGCTGTCATCGCGGTAGTAATATCCAGGCAGGTCCTGGACCCCACGCTCCACAAAGTCATTGGGGAGGTAGAGGCTGTCATAGGTGAGCTCCGACAGAGCTCGCACCATCACCCCAGCAAAGCCCTCCACTCCCAGAGACATGCCCTGTGAGGGAGGAGGCAGATACTGGCGTCGGACAGGCATCCCTGAAACGCCCCTCAGGTCCTCTATGATCCCAATAAGTGCCCCTTCACCCCCAAGCCAGCCAACCCCACCTCTAGGAATTCTGCTCTGGGACAGCACCCCAGCCCTGTCCTGCTCCTTTCTAGACAGGAGAGCCCACTTCATCCAGTTCCCTCCCTCCATGTCCCCTCGCAATGACCGAAAGGCAAGTGAAAAGTCCTGGTGTTTGTCCATCTGCAAAGGCCAGAGGAAAGCAAGTGTCTCGTTGGGGGTGGGGGCGGAGTCTTACCTTAGCAGACAGCCCTCCCTCATTGAGGAGAACAGCCCGGCCAATGCTGTTGATCTGGACAGTGTATCGGGTATGGGGGATGAGGAGCTGTGGGAAGGACCAGGAGGATGAAGAGAGAGGGCTGCAGCGGCACCCAAAGGAGCTGAGCACCCCACTTCCGCAACATCAGACCTGCTCACTCTGGGAAGTCCCCACGCCAAGCCCTCTCTGACTAGAGTCTGACTGCTCAGTGGGCTGGGAGCCTTTCTGAGGCCAGGTGAGGGCCGTGATGCCTGGGGGGGCCCCTCCCCCCAAGCCCATACCTTGTAGAGGGGGTGGCACATGGGCAGGTTCCTCAGCATGGCCAGGCCGAAGGCCTCGGCAATGAGGTGGGTCTCCAGCAGGTGGGCGATGGCCTCGTGGCTGTAGAACTCCGCATAGCGCACCCACGTCTTGGCCAGTAGCCAGTCCCACTCAGAATCGCTGGGCAGGAAGATGGGGCAATCCGGCCCAGGGGTTTGGCTGAGCTAGTGGTGATGAAAGAGGGAGAGTTAGGTGAGGGCAGGACCCACACACAGAAAGGCCCCACTGCAGGGAGGAGGCAGAATTGAGTCTGAGAAGGTGAAAACCCTCCCACACTCCAGTCCCACTGGTCCCCTGAGTACCCCTGGCCCTTTCTTCCCTCCCCACATTTGATCTTGCTGTTCCCTCTGCCTGACTTCAGTACCTTCCCCTTGTCCTGGTCTCTACCTGGCAGCTCTCACTTATTCTTCCAGAACCATCTCACAAGCTGCCTCCTCTGGCAAGCCTTCCTTACTCCAACCCCACCTCCACCAAACTCAGGTGTGCAGGTTGCGCACTGCACAAGGGTTCCCAGCCCCTCAAGGGGCAGGCAGATCACTGAAATCAGCCTCCACTCTTACGCTAAGGAACCAGGACCATCAGGCTCTGGGGCTCTAGCCCATCCACCCAGAGGGAGCCTCTTTCTAACTTATATATGACCCTTGGGGGACCCCTGGGAAGGAAACACCTAGTTCCTTCCTCTGCCAGACCAGATTCCCAAGGCAGCAGCTAGGTCTAATTAGCTCAGTATTTTCAGTATGGACCCGGCCGCCTTCAGGGATTGGTTTTCCAAGTGGATGAATGGATGAAGTCAAAGAGACGAGCACACTCCACAGACACACATACGTGCTCACACTCACAGATGCACACACATAGGGCATACAAGTGCAGCCAGCCCTCCATATCCGTGGGCTCCACACTGTGGATTCCACCACAATACACGGAAAATACTCCTGGGAAATAAACTGTCTCTACTGAACATGTGCAGAGTTTTTCCCCTAAACAACACAGTATGACAACTACACATAGCATTTACATTGTATTATATTGGGTACTATGAGTAATCTAGAGAGGATTTATTTTATTTTATTTTATTTTATATTGAGACAGAATCTCATTCCGTTGTCCAGGCTGAAGCGCAGTGGCATAACTTCAGCTAACTGCAACCTCGGCCTCCGAGGTTCAAACGATTCTCCTGCCTTAGCCTTCCGAATAGCTGAGAACACAGGCACTCCCCACTACCCTGGCTAATTTTTGTAGTTTTAGTAAAGATAGCGTTTCCCCATGTTGGCCAGGTCTCGAACTCCTGACCTCAAGTAATCCGCCTACCTCAGCCTCCCAAAGTGCTGGGATTAACAGGCATGAGCCTCCGCACCCGGCCTAGAGAGGATTTAAAATACACAAGCGGGCCGGTGGAGGTGGCTCATGCCTGTAGTCCCAGCACCTTGGGAGGCTGAGGTGGGAGCATCGTTTGAACCCAGGAGTGCAAGATGGAAGAAAGCATAGCGCTCCTTGTGTACACGCAGCAGCAAGAGCTCACCCAGCTCCGCTGAGCATCGGACCTTGTACTTCTGCACCTGAGGGGACCAAGATAGCAAGCAGGTGAGAGGCGGGAAACTGCCAAGGCGGTCCTTGCACCTTGCAAGGTGCATCTACGCGTAAGCCTATTCGGACACGCAAACCTGATCTGCTGCCAGCCCACACCGGGCTTTTCTACGAATTAGCAAAAGGTGCCCGGGTTGGGCGCAGTGGCTCACGCCCTGTAACCCCAACACACAAGATGTGTGTACGTTATACGTAAATACTGGAACATTTTATCTAAGAAACTTGAGCATCTGCAGATTTTGGCATGGCGGGGGTGGGGGGGCGGTCCTGGAACCCATCTCTCAAGGAAACCGAGAGACGGCTGAATACACACAGTTCCACACGCCCACATAAGCGCGCGCACACTCGGAGGAACATTCGCGCACACAGAGGCTCAGCGGCAGCGCCGCCTGCGGCCCAGGCACCTGGATGGCGATGGGCATCATCTTGCACTCGGGCCCGAAGTGCAGCAGGCAGAGGGGGGCGCAGTTGTGCTGCTTCCGGCCGCTGAGCTCGACGGTGGGGAAGCCCTCCAAGATGCGGTAGTCGGCCAGGTAAATGTTCCCCTTCTGGAGGGGAGCCGCGGTGGGTGGCTAGTAGGCACCCGCGCGGGGCGCCCAGGGGCAGGGGTGGGACGGGAAAGCGGGGTGCTGGTTGCAGGTGTGGCTGGGACTGGCGCAGGCGCCGGAGGTGGGGTGGGACCCGGATGCCCGCGAGGGAGGCCGGAAGGCGGGCCGGGGTCTCCGCCCGAGAGGGCCTCACCTCCAGCTCCGCTTGCAAGCACGTTCCCTCGCCCAGGAACGGGGCCACCATGTCGTCTGTGACGGGGAACTTGTCTGGGATCCGCGTGCAGCGGCGGATCAGGCCTGGGTTGACGCCGTTGAGGTACTGGTACCCAAAGAAGGTGTCCTCGGCCCAGTGCTCTGCCACGTACTCTGTGGGGACGGAACGAGGGCGTCACAAGGCAGCCCGGCGCCCCTCGGGGTCGGAGGGCCATGGGACAGAAGAAGAGCACGGGCACCGAGAGGACTCGGGGAGGAAAACGATAATCTCCCAGCCTCGCGCTGAGCGGCCAGAGGAGCCCGGGGCGACGTTTTCCCAGAAGCCGCCAGAGGGCGCGCGCGCCTCGCTGCTCTTGCGTCCCACTGCTCGACGTAGGGGGCCTGCCTAGCACGCCCGAGACCACCTGGCTCCCCCTGCTCGATCCGGGACGCCCCATTCCATACCGGCGACGACAGACTTCTTGCCAGGGAAAATTTTCTTAATATCCTTCAGTCTCTTCCACGAATGTTTGCAGTCCAACAGGCCGCGGACTTTGAAAGCCAGTGCCCTAGGAGATGGGATTCCAGGGAGAGGCTGTCACCCAAGGGCCAGCTGGGGCTAGTGGCAGGGCCGCCCCACCCACTTAGGTCTCTGGGCCGCAGGGTCTGTGGCTCAAAGTCTCTGGTTCCCAGGTCTCAAGATCTTTGCATCTCTAGGTCTCTGGGATCATGTCTTGGGTTTTCTGGGTCTGCATGTCAGGCCCCTCTGCCTTTCTGGCCATTCCAACCTCTGGGACTGTCTTGGAGGCCACCACGGTGGTGGGAGAGGGACAGTCCTGGCAGGAGCCCTTGTCACTCACACAGACTCACATGGGCCCCAAGCGGGTGAAGAAGGAGGCTGTCTTGAGGAAGGAGTAGCGGAGATTTAAGTTTAGGAACTTGGTGGCCTTAAAGTTGATAAGAATCGGAAATCCTGGAATATAGCCATTCCACCTGTGGGGAGAAGCGCATAGCAGCTGGGATCCAGGGGGCGGGGAGGAGGCAGGTGCCCAGGGAGAAGCCGTGGGAGGGGCCCAGCACAGCTTCAGGTCCTTACTCTGGCCGGTTCGGGTTGCGATGCCTTCGGACCGGAGGACGGTAACTGGGAATGTGCACATAGTTGGGCAGGCCAGGAACAAAGACTCGCCAGCTGCAAGGGAAGCCGAGATGTGCCCCTGATGCCCGTGCACCACCCCAGGGTACAGGGCCAGAGCCATCACTGCCCCCACCTCCCTGGACCCCTGCAGGGCCCCAGACTCTGCCACCCGCCCCCTCACTGGTAGAAGTCCTGCTTGGCTCTGATCTCCTCTCGTCTGTGCTCCAGGAGGATGGGGAGTGAGTCGTCTGCCGTTGTCTTTCCTGTAGGGAGACCAAGGAGGCGACTCAAGGGCTGACCCCTGCCCCAAGTGAGAACATTCGGTATTTGATTTTCTGGTTTGCCTTGTTTCACTTAAGATAATGACCTCCAGTTCCATCCATTTTGCTGCAAATGACATGATTTCATTTTTTCATGACTAAATAGTATTTCATTGCATATATATGCCACCTTTTCTTTGTCCAGTCATCCATTAGGGCACTTAGAGTCATTCTGTATTTTTGCTAGTGTGAATAGTGCTGTGATAAGTGAGGCATCTTTTTGATATATTGATTTCTTTTCCTTTGGGTAGATACCACTGAAATATTAATAACTGACAGTTGTTTAGCACTTACTAGGTCCCAGGTACTTGGTAGACAGTTCACTTTTTATTAATCTAGGCCTAAGAAACACCCCTGGCACCAACAGTTTCAGCTAAAGGACTGTATCACCATGCCCATTGTACAAGGAGAAACAGTCGTATTATGTGGGGAAAAGGCTGGATTTGTCCCGCAGCAGGCTGCTCCTGACCACCAACAGTTGTTAAGCCTTTTAAAACTCCCTTCAGGGGCTGGGCGCGGTGGCCCATGCCTGTAATCCCAGCACTTTGGGAGGCTGAGGCGGTGGATCACGAGGTCAAGAGATCAAGACCATCCTGGTCAACAAGGTGAAACTCCGTCTCTACTAAAAATACAAAAATTAGCTGGGCATGGTGGTGCGTGCCTGTAATCCCAGCTACTCAGGAGGCTGAGGCAGGAGAATTGCTTGAACCCAGGAGGCGGAGGTTGTGGTGAGTCGAGATCCTGCCATTGCACTCCAGCCTGGGTAACAAGAGCAAAACTCCATCTCAAAAAAAAAAAAACTCCCTTCAGGCCAGGTGCGGTGGCTCATGCCTGTAATCCCAGCCCTTTGGAAGACTGAAGTGGGTGGATAATGAGGTCAGGAGTTCAAGACCAGCCCGATCAACATGGTGACACCCCATCTCTACTAAAAATACAAAAATTAGCCGGGCGTGGTGGCATGTGCCTGTAATCCCAGCTACTCAGGAGGCTGAGGCAGGAGAATCACATCAATCTGGGAGGTGGAGGTTGCAGTGAGCTGAGATCGCACCACTGCACTCCAGTCTGGGGGACAGAACAAGACTGTGTCTCAAAAAAAGAGAAAAGAAAAGGAAGGAAAAACTCCGTTCAGATGTCATCTCATTGGATTCTCATATCCACCCTATGAAGCCGGTTCTGTTGTGAGCTCCGTTTCACAGATGAGGGCACCAAGGCTTAGGAGAATTTGCAAGTGTGCCCCGATGTCCAGCTAGTCGGTGGAAAAGCTGAGACCCACATCCAGATCCGTCTTTCTCCAGCACCCTGGCTGGTGGTTCCCCAGGCTGGCCCGTGCTGCCACTGCAGCCCATCATTTCCTATCAAGGCCCTCACCTCACCCTCCTCCACCTCTCCCTCCTCCACCTGCCTCAGCTCACATTGTATTCTGGATGAACAGTGTTCTCCGGAGTTGTGAAACCCAGAGACCCAGCTCCTTTCAATCCCCAGGGCGGGAACCTCACTCCTTCAAGGGTGACTCAAGTCTCCCTGTCCTCCTGTTGCATGGCAACGGCTCACCCAACCCCATTCCTCCCTGGCCACCAGCATCAATCACCCTGCCTGTCCCCTCTTCCACGTCACCCAGACCTGTCACTGTGGGAAGGTGCTCAGTGTCTCCAGCAAGCCCCTCCCCTTGGCATGCCCACTGTCTCCCAGGCTTTCCTTGCCTCTCCTTTCCCCAGCTCAGGCCCTGATCCCCACTCCAGCACAGGGCAATGAGAAATGGAAGAGAGGTCGTCAGCTGCAGGGAGGACGGGGCTTCCGGCCCCGGGTGTCCTCAGCTCTGCTTTCCCTCCCATCCGCCTCAAAGGAAGCCAGCAGACACTCAAGTGGTAGAACTGGGAGATAACAGAGGACAGGCCTCCAAGTCCCATGCAGTACTACAAATTAGGAAGCTGACCCCAGACCCCCCCACACAAGGGTCTCTGGCAGGGGTGGGTGCAAGGAGCTCAGCCACTCAGCTCCTGTTCTCTCCCATGGGAACAACCAAGCAACTGGAAAAACCACTGGGCAGCCTTAGCCAGCCACGACCTTGGAGAAACCCTGACAGTTTCTCTGAATAATAGGGCCTCTATTGGATAGAGCGTTACTGGGTTAAGGGGGGTCTTTTGAAGTAACAGTGCATCCTGTTAGAGAAATAAGGTGTCCTGTTGGGATAATAGGGAATCCTTTGGAGCAATAGAACATCCCATCAGTCTGAAAATGCTCGGTTAGAAAACCAGGGCTCATGCCTGTAATCCCAGCACTTTAAGGCCAAGGCAGGTAGATCACCTGAGATCAGGAGTTCAAGACCAGCCTGGCCAACATGGTGAAACCTGTCTCTACTAAAAATACAAAAATTATCCAGGTGTGGTGGCACGTGCCTGGAGTCCCAGCTCCTCGGGAGGCTGAGGCAGGATAATCACTTGAACCTGGGAGGCGGAGATTGCAGTGAGCTGAGATCATACCGTTGCACTCCAGCCTGGGCAACAAGAGCAAAACTCCGTCTCAAAAAAAAAAAAGAAAACCAGGGCATCATAATTATAAGACCACAGTACCATGGAGACCTGTGGACCTCAAAGGGCTTCTAAATGGTGTAGCAAGGTGCCAGTTGGAATAATGGGGCATCCTGTTATAGTAACAGAATCATCCTGGAGTAACAGGGAGTCTTTTTGGAGTGCATATAGTTGGCATCATGAATAGGCCTCCTGTGAGAATCCTGAGCCTCTCCCTAGCATCACAAGGGGTCTTTTTAGAGTGGCTGGGCATCTTGTAGGAGTCTGGGAGGACTGGAGAAGTAGCAGGGAGTGCACTCTGGGAATGCTGTCTTCTGCTGGATGGGGATGCTGACGGTAGCTGCCAGGCCTCAGCCACCTCAGTTCTTCCAGTGCGCAGCCCCAGGCTGAGTCCAGAGCAGCAGCACTGACTCAGGGAAATGTGTGAGCGTGGCAAGAGAGCCCAGAGTCCCTGGTGGGGCATGCCCCCTGCTGGCTTGCTGGAAAGCCGGGTGCCATGCCCAGGTAGCAGGCTGGAGTGAGGGGCCTCATGGCCACGGGATGGAGCAGGGTGATGAGCGCTTACCTGTGGCCTCCCGGAGTGACAGGGTCTCGTAGCCATCCATCCACTGGTAGGCAGGGAAGTGGTAGATACGGCCGTCGGGGGCACAGATCTGCACGTAGTTGCAGTACCAAGGGTCTTTGGGGAAGAAGGAATAGCGCTCTTTGTGCAGGCGGATGATGATGAGTTCCCCCAGATCCTGCGGGCACTGCACGGTGTACTGGTCCACCTAGGCAGGATGCAGGGCTGGCTGAGTGGGCAGGTTTCTACCTGGCTCCCAGGCTGCCCACCCTGCTGGCCCCTCACCCAAGCCCTGCTCATGCTGCACAATGCTCACCTCCCTGGCTTGATGGAGAGGCAGGATATTGACCTGATTGTTGATCTTCCTTCTGACTCCTTCGGCTTGGGGGTCTCCTGCTGGGTCCCTCTAACCAAAGCCGCCTGTGTAGGACTCCAGCCCCTCCCTCTCTCCATCCCCAGCTCCTGTCTTCTCCCATCCCCTCTCCAGCCACCCGAGGTTGCAGGAACCCTTCAGACCCCTGGGAACTTGGCTACCACGCTACAGTTTTTGAGTGGGGAGAGTTGGCGGTCCAGCCAGCCCCTTCTCCCATTCATCAGTGAAGATGCAGATATTCAGAATGGCCACATAGATAGAGTGATCTATTAAGGTCACATAGCAGCAGGTGGTTGGGCCTGACTCAAAATCAGGTCTGAGGACCTACAGAGCGTGCCTTCCGTGAGACAGGCTGGTTTGATGCCATTTCAAGTCACAGTTGTGATGCAACTGAACTTAGGAAGAGTGAGTAAGAATGGAAGAGAGACGGATGGGTGGGGGGGAAGAGAAGAAAAGGGAGGAGAGCGAAAGCAGGTGGAGAGGATTGAGAGGGAGGGATACAGGATGGGCAGAGACAGGGAGAGAGGGCTGAGGGAGAGGGAGAGAAGAAATGGACGAGGAGGGAGGTGAGAAATGGCCGAAAGGGATAGTGACGAGGGAGCAGGATGGAAAAGCATGGCGCAGAGACCTGGGACGTGTGCGAGGGGCTGGGAGCCAGCTCTGGGCAAGGCATCTAGAGCCACCCTGGGAGCCCACTACCTTCAGAGCTCTGCCTCTGCTCTCCAGCCTCTTCTGGCCAACCTCAGCTCACCTGGCTCCCCCTGTGCACCTCCATCCCTCTCAGGCCCGCTGCACACACACGCACACACGCACGCACACGCACGGACGCATGCACACACACACATGCACGCACACACACACGCACGCACACACACAGACGCATGCACGCTCGCACTTACCGCCCCAGTTGCAAAGTCTCTCCCAAAGTGGTTCAACGGCTGCTTATGGCTCTCTCCTTGGGTCCCCACAATGGTCAGTGAGATGGAGTCCCGTGTTCCTGACAGGAAATCGGTGCCTGTGGCCACCTTGACTTTGTAGGTGGCCATGGCTGATCTTCAGGAGGCAAGAGGGACAGTCAGTCCTGGACACCGTGGAGGGGCCACACAGAGACCCAAGGCAGGCAAGGGAATCCAGGCACAGAGTGGAGTGGACAGGGCCAGCCTCCAAGGTAGAGTGGTGAGGTGGCGAGTTGGGGTGACTGGGCCTGCCAGCCAAATCCTGGAAAAGCTGCTGCCCTTGGCGGCCGGGGTGCGTGCTGGGAAGGCCCAGGCGGGGCCCAGCTGGTGGCAAGTGAGCAGGTTTCTGGGCTCTGAGCCCTCTGGGAGCTGGCAGGGAGGAAAAGCAGGCAGGGCACTGGGCCTGCCTCTGAAAGGGCGGATGGAAGACGCCGTGGATGAAGGCGCCTTCAGGGTGGGGGAGCCAGTCCAGCCTGAGCCAGGGCCCCAGGGAAGTTTGGGGGAAGGGGCAGGGTGGGGCCCCCAGATCTTTATCAGACTAATAAGCTCTTTCCTCCTGCCAGTCCCCATTGACTGCAGTGCCAGGAACCCCTGCTAAGCAGGGCCCTGGGCACTGTGACCTGCATTGGTTCTGAGGCTCTTGGTGGGCGGGGGAGAGAAAAGGGGAGGGGCACTAACTTGCTGCACAGCCGGCCGACTGCCTGGCCATTCCTGCTGGGAATGGGGCAGGTAGTAGCGGCAGTGAGAAAGCTGGCCCATCCTTCTGCCCCAGGGCCCAGAGTCTGTGACAGGAAGGGTGGGAGGTGTTGAAGCTAGGGCTCTGGGACCACATGGGTGCAGAGAGACCTGGAGACACTGTGGGCAGGAATGATCAGGGTAGGAGGAGGTGATCTGTTGCTTCCTGCAGGGCCAGATCCACTGGGGAGGGATTGGAGTTGGAGACAAAAGAAAATAAAAAATTAGAAGACAGAGTGAAATCTGGGGCATAAGAATTAAGTTAAATAGCTAGGTGCGGTGTCTCACGCCTGTAATCCCAGCACTTTGGGATGCCAAGGCGGGCGGATCACGAGGTCAAGAGATCAAGACCATCCTGATCAACATGGTGAAACCCTGTCTCTACTAAAAATACAAAAATTAGCCAGGCATGATGGTATGTGCCTGTAGTCCTAGCTATTCAGGAGGCTGAGGCAGGAGAATCACTTGAACTCAGGAGGCAGAGGTTGCAGTGAGCTGAAATTGTGCCACTCCACTCCAGCCTGGGTAAGAGAGTGAGACTCCATCTCAAAAAAAAAAAAAAAAAAAAAAATTAAGTTAAATAATGGATCAATATGATCAATATTTTGTGGTATAATCATAAACTAGAATTCTACGCAGGAATTAAAAAAAAAAAAGGTCAGGCACGTGGCTCACACCTGTTATCCCAGCACTTTGGGAGGCCAAAGTGGGCGGATCACAAGGTCACGAGATCGAGACCATGGTGAAACCCCGTCTCTACTAAAAAATACCAAAATTAGCTGGGCGTGGTGGCGCGCACCTGTGGTCCCAGCTACTCAGGAGGCTGAGGCAGGAGAATTGCTTGAACCCGGGAGGCAGAAGTTGCAGTGAGCCAAGATTGCGCCACTGCACTCTAGCCTGGCACCTGGCAACAGAGCAAGACTCTGTCTCAAAACAAAAAAGAAAAAAAAAAAAGGAACTGCAATGCAGGTGAATCTCACAAAGATTATACTGAGTGAAAAGACCCAGACATTAAAGAGGACACGTTCTGTTATTCCATTGATAGGAACTTCCAGAACCAGCAAAACTGAGCCATCTTTAGACAAGCTCCACTGGCGAGTATCTGGCAGAGGGAAGCCATACAGGCTGCTGGAAGTGTTCTTATCTTGATCTGAGGGGCTTATAGGGCACTTAATTTTATAAAGTACATATCCTCACTTCCCTCCCCAAAAAAGAATGAAGCTAGGAAGAGGGCCAGAGTCAGGGCTGGGCTCCAGTGGAACTGAGTTTGCTGGGAACCAGGTCATTCATTCCCTCCCTCCCTCCCGCAGATGTGTAGTGAGCATGGTGCCCAGCGTTCTAGGCACTGCAGACACAGAGAAGAAATGAAACGTACATGGAGCTTACCGAATACAGTAGCTGGGAAAGAAGTGAAGGCAACAGTAAACGATAATTTGTTCACTACAATTTTGGATACTAAGTGCCCTGTAGAAAATAAGCCTGGAGTCGGTGGGAGGTTGGGATTGGGAACTAGTTTCTGAAAGAATCACAGAAGCCAGAGAGCCTTGGGAAAGGGAGAAGGTTTTAGGAGAAAGACGAGGAGCAATGATGAGAGAGGGCCAGAGATATACTTTCCAAAGATAGGATTTGGGACCCAGGGAGAGTGAGGAGGCAGGCATGTTCCTATTCCCTTTTTCTGGTCCTGCCCTCTTTCCTTCTGCCTCCCAGGGGCAGTTTCTGTCAACCAGGAAGCACAACCCTGGTTTCCTCCCTGGTGGCATGCTTCCATCACCATCGAAGGAAGGTCACTCAGTGCCTGGGCCAAGTTAAGGCCAGAGGGGGCTGGGACTGTGAAATGAAGAAAAAGTTCCAGTACGTTCCTGATTGGATGTGGAATGGGGTTAAGACTGCAATTCAGGTTGTTTAGGGACATGGATGTGGCCGGAGTCGGGGATTGACATGATCTTTTTCCAGACCTAAATCTGTTCATATCACCCTCTATGCCACCTCCTCCCACCCCTGATCAAGCCTGGCAGTGGCTCCTCTGCCTTCGGGACAGTGACACCATCCCCTCCCGTGGTCCCCAAGGTCTGCCTGATTGGCGTCACCCCTCACATTCGCCTTTGCTGTCTTCTGTCTGGGACCACGTGCCTTTCGTTCATTCATTAGCAGACACTGGCTGAGCCCCTACTGTGTGTTGAGCACTGTGTCAGGTCCTGGAAATACAATGTGACCAAAGCAAACCCCCGCACTCATGGAGCTTGCCTTGAAGTGGGGAAACAGACATTACCTAATAACCAAATACATTAAATAACATATTAAATAGTGATATGTGTTGAAGAGAAAAAAGAAACAGGGAAAGACAAAAGAAAAGGAGGGCCAGGCGCGGTGGCTCATGCCTGTAATCCCAGCACTTTGGGAGGCCGAGGTGGGCAGATCACCTGAGGTCCAGAGTTCGAGACTAGCCTGGCTAACTTGGAGAAACCCCATCCCTACTAAAAATACAAAATTACCTGGTGTGGTGGCACATGCCTGTAATCCCAGCTATTTGGGAGGCTGAGGCAGGAGAATCACTTGAACCTGGGAGGCAGAGGTTTTAGTGAGCTAAGATCTCGCCACTGCACTCCAGCCTGGGCAACAAGAGTGAAAATTTGTCTCAAAAACAAACAAACAAACAAAAAGAGGAGCAAATTGTAGATATAGAGTGGCCAGGGAAGGGCTCCTGGGAAAGGGGACTTTTGAGTAAAGACCTGAAGGAAGTGAAGTCAGCTCCTTGCCACCCAGGGCCTTGACACATGCTGTTCCCTCTCTACCTCTCCAACTTGTCATGTTTCTTCTTCTTCCTGACCTTAGCTCAATAATTGCTTTTTTGAGGAAGGCCAAATTTCGCTATACATGGCTCTCACAGCACTGTAGCTAACATCTTTGATGTCTGTTTTCCCTAATAAATTAGGCTGTCCATAACTGTTTTTCGTTTTGTCCCCATCTCCTGGTGTCGTACTTGGTACCTGGGAGACGCTGGAAACAGAGTTGAATGGTTTAGTGATAACGACAAGGTCAGGGCTGGGGATTGAATCGATGATGGCTTTGGAGTTATGGTGAAGATCCAAGGAGAGCTGGCTTGGGCTAAAAGTGAGAGAAGGGGCAAGGGGTGGTGTGGGGGACAGGAAGGGGTTGGGTGGGGAGGGAGGGAGGAGAGGAGAGAAGGCTGAGGATGAGGGTCATGCCCAGCCCTGGGTGGCAGACAAAAGCAGTCCATCTGGATCTCCATCCTGGGCTCTCCCTCCTCAACCACCTTGATGACTCTTGGAGGATGCTGGGAGCCCGAGGATGCAAATCTTAAGATGCAAATTCCATGCAAATTATCCCAGCCTCCTGCTTTCTAGTCTTTCCCCTTTGCCCTGTGTCCCCAGGGGGCTGCTGAGGCTTGGTGAGAAGCAGGGCGGTGGAGTGGGCAAACCGAGTCACAGCCCACTACCAAGAGGTGTCCCCTGTCCAAATCCCAGGGTGACCCTGGGTTTGCTTAGGGCTCCAGTCTGGAGTGGGAATTAGGTTCCTGAGGGAGATGGACATAAAGGCAGGGATGCTGAGGATGTGAATGTGGCTGGGGTGGGGACAGAAATGGGATGAGGCATGAGGATATAAATGGGGCACTCCCCAGCTATGACCAAAACGTAGACGCATGACTCTTGGTAGGTGCTCATTGGGCTGAAGAACTGGTTTTCCTGGACCAGGGGAGGGACCCAGCGAGCAGGAGAGGTTCCTGGGAAGGATTCACACTTGCTGCGGTGGCTCACTAGGGTCCACCCACATAGGAAGCTGAGTTCTCACTGCCGGGGCAGCCCCCATTCCTGCCCCCATCCCAAGCCCTGCAAGGCAAGGAGCCACTAACTCCTGGGACCCACTCTCCTAAGACAAAAAATCAAATCAGGCCATTCCCCTGCTTAAAGTTCACCAGAGCTTAAAATGATGTTGTCCTTAGAAACAAATCCAAGGGCTGGGCGTGGTGGCTCACGCCTGTAATCTGAGCACTTTGGGAAGCCAAGGCAGGTGGATCACAAGGTCGGGAGTTTGAGACCAGCCTGACCAACATAGTGAAACCCCATCTCAACTAACAATACAAAAATTGGCCAGGTGTGGTGGCTAATGCCTGTAACCTCAGCTAGTCAGGAGGCTGAGGCAGGAGAATCACTTGAACTCAGGAGGTGGAGATTGCAGTGAGCCAAGAGATCGCACCACTGCACTCCAGCCTGAACAGTAGAGTGAGACTCTGTCTCAAAACAAACAAATAAACAAGAAACAAATCCAAGGACTTATCATGGCTATAGGACCACGCATGCCCCGACACATGTTTCCAGACACTCTGGCCTCCTCTTTGTACCCAGAACACGTGTCCTTCAGGATCCTTGCATTTGCACCCACTGGGCTGGTAACACCCTTCCCCCAAGCTGTTCAAGCTGTTTCACGAGTGGTTTTGTTTGTTTGTTTGTTTGTTTTGAGACTGTCTCACTCTGTTGCCCAGGCTGCAGCCTCCACCTCTCTGGCTCAAGCGATCCTCCCACCTCGCCCTGTAACTGGGACCACAGGCGTACTCCGCCTGGCTCATTTTTTGTATCTTTCAGTAGAGATGGGATTTTGCCATGTTGCCGGGGCTGGTCTCAAACTCCTGAGCTCAAGTGATTTGCCCATCTCAGCCTCCCAAACTGCTGATTGCAGGCCTGAGCCACTGTGGCCAACACGAAGAATGTATTGTTCATATCACCCAGTGTCACCTCCTCAGAGTCCCTCCCTGACCACCCTCATGTTTCCCTACCCTCCGCCCTCCATCATGCTATACTGCCATTGGTTGTCTCTCCAGCGACACTTGCCACCGCCTGAAAGGATCTTTATCCGTTTATTGATGCATGTATTGTGTCTCTCCACCACCCGTAAACTCTAAGAAAGGAGTTGTGCCTGGGGAGCTCACAGCTGCTTCCCCAAAATCTAGAACAGCTTCTAGTGAGACAAGAGCCCTGAAGCAAAGTGATCCTAGGAAGGGGCTTCTCAGGTCTTCCCACTCCTGGATCTGGCTGGGGAAGGAGGCTGGTGTGCTTCGCGTTGGACCAGGTGGCCTTTCAGACTGACCGAAAAGCCGTGGAGGGCAGAGTGCAAGCTGTGGGGCACTCCCGACCTCACAGGGCTCCAGCAGCTTGACGTGAGCCTCCTCCCCATGTCCTGTCCCCAGAGTCAGCGCAGGGCGACCTAAGCAGGTGTGTCTGCCCAATAAATCTCTCTTCAAGCTGCCTTTCTGGGAAACCAGATTCCAGGGATCCGCCCTGGTCCCTCCCTCTCCGGCTTGGGGGCATTTTTTTAGGATAGGTATGCCTTCTAATGCTATCTCTGTGGAGGCCCTAGGAGTGTTCATCCTCTTGGGGGACAGGGTGCCTGAGTATGCCCAGGCCCTTTTTGCTGCTGCTTCCAAGCTGGGTATCAAAGGGGCCTGCATTGTGCACCCAGCCTCAGTCTCACCCCTGGTGGACACAACTGGTGATTTGGGATAAGTCCTTAGGTTGCAGTCTGCACATGAGATATCCCCAGACACACCTCTTTATGCGCAATGATATGAGGATCCTCTTCTCCCATGATCACAGGTGCAGAAAGTGAAAATCCAACAGCCAAAGGCAGCCTGACCCACCACACACACAAGGAGCAAAGGGAGAAGGGGTTTGGTTGAACAGGGAGAGATTCTTGGGCTGGGATGTGGTGGGACAGTTGACTGCCCCAGAATTTCAATATACCAGGGCTTTGGGATGGCAGTTGAGTTAGGGAGCAAATGCGGTTAGGTACAGGGCTCTTTGTGCAGCTGCGATTGTACTGCAGGCACGTGGTGTTTTCTTAGATGATGGCAGCCCCAGCCAGGGCAGCCTGTGGATCCCCACTGAGCGCAGGAACGAACATTGACCATGGTCTGCACCGGGACTGAGACGCACTGCAGCCCGACAGAGCCTCCAGCCACATGAAGCTCTGGGTGAGTCACTGGTTATGCTGATGCTAAGCCACCTGACTCCCTGCCACTGACCCCACAGGGATGGGGAGAGCCGTTGCCCTGTCATTCCCAGATCTCCCTGTGATCTGACCAGAGAGAGGCCATGACTGGGATTGGGTCAGGCACAGAATTTGACTCAGGTGGCAGAGGAAGGAAGGAAGGTGGGCTGGATCTGAGGTCTGGGGAAGCAGAAAACTCGCATGCTGGGTGGCTGTGGATTGAGAAGACCGGGAAGACTGACTTGAGGGCTGCACAGGTCTCTATGTTTAAGGACTGTGGGGCTGAAAATCAGACACCCCAGATTACCAGCCATGTGGTCAGGATCGACTATACCACAGTAACAACCCCCAAATTCCAGTGGCTTCACCTGACAAGTTTATTTCTTGCTCAGTCCATGGCTGGCCCAGGCAGTGGGGGCCTCTTCTCCAGTCCCTTGGACACATCAGCAAGTGCCATCGCAACACGTGCTTCCAGAAGGGAGAGGCAGAGAGAAGGAAATCAGGGGTCTCTGTACCGGCCTGGAGATGACCCGCATCCCTTCTGCTCCCACCCAGCCGAAATTCATCTCGTGACTCCACCCATCCACAAGAGGGCCAGAGGCTGAGTCTTCCAAGTCCAGGAGGAGAGCTGGATTTTGGTGGCAACACTAACAATTACCCAGACTCTGAGGCTTTACAAAATACTTACTATTCCACTTCTTAGTCCTCTGAATCCAGACTTTCCTTCACCTCCTGATGACGCTCTCTGGGAGGTGAAGGCAGGAATACATGGCTTGACTGAACAGTGGGTTGAGCCAGGACCCTTCTGTCCCCAGAGTGGATAATCCATGGATTCCTGTCTCCAGAACAGACGACCCACGGATCCATTGCTGCCCCCGCACTGCACCCCTCCCACCCTCACCCACTCCTACACACACACACACATCAAAGCAGCCAAATATTTTGGTTTTTATTGAATTCACTGGGCTCAAGGACAAAAAGAAAAAAAAAAAATGGAATGACAGTGGAGTAGAACAAAAGCTTGAGAAAGATCCATCCCCACAAACGCCCCAGGCCAAGGAACCTGTCTCTAAGAATAGCTGTGAGAGGTCCAGGCCAGCTGCATTCCGATTCTTCCCCTCCCCTTAAAGGTGCTGGGGACAAAGGGAAACACACGTCTGACTCAGGCACACAGCCTTTCTGTGCTTCCTGGATTTTCAGCCGGGTTGACTGGCCCTAGGCTTGCAGGAAAGGGAAGGTAAAAAGGCAGGGTAGGAGAAGGAGTTTGAGGATGCGGGAGGATGAAGGAGAAAGGCTCAGAAACCCAAGCTGGGCATTCCAAAAGGCTGGAACAAGAGGCTGCCCAAAATAGAGCAAGAAGTGAAGCAGTTCCTTCCTTTCGGAGGGGCTACTGTGCATCGGACTTTAGTCAATGGCTCATAACCGTGGACGCTGCTGTCCTGGCCTCTCACAGCTGAGGGTGCAGTTTGTATGATGTCAGAGCCATCTTGGCTGCAAAGGTCCCCACGTGCAGACGAGAAGGTTCAGGCGAACTGAGAACAGGGAGGATGGAAGGGTCTGGAGGACAGTAAGGAACTGTTCCTCCTCATGCTTGTACCTTTCTTCTTGGGTGGTATTTGGGGGTGGTTAGATGGAGACGCTGTTCTCGATGAGGGGAGGGTCCAGGTAGGTGTAGGGCAGCTCAAGGCCCTGGTTCCGCTCCCGGATGTCCCTCGAGATCTGGGCCAGGCGGCTCTGGAAGGCGGCAATGCTTCGCCTTGGGGCCTCCTCTGTGAAGTGCTCATCCGGGTAGGTGCCCAGGGGCCTCTGGGAGGAAATCGGGCAAGAGATCAGGATGACATTCAGGATGGGTTGGAGAATAATGAAGGACCACATGTAACAGCAAATACCGTCAAGTTGCAGCCATTGTAAACACCTGCCCTTCAAACCAGGGCCCCAAACTACCACTCCACACATCCTGACACAAACGGCCCCCCGGCACCCAAACCCCAAACAGAGTAGGGGACACCATGTGACTTAGGAGCCAGACAACCCAAATTCAGTGCTGCCTCTGCTGACAAGCCTCTGCCTGTTACTTCAACTCTCAGACGCAATTCCTGCATCTGAAAATGGATAAGTTGAACTAGAAAAAATGTTTTTTGAGGCAGGGTCTCACTCCGTTGCCCAGGCTGGCTGGAGTGGTGGTGCGATCATAGCCACTACAGCCTCGAACTCCTGAGCTCAAGTGATCCTCCCACCTTGGCCTCCCAAAGCACTAGGATTACAGGTGTGAGCCACTGACGCCTGGCCTACAAAACCTTTAAAAGTCCCTTTCATACCTGATCCAACTGCTCTGTGAACTAAAAGAATACAATCACATTTCTCATACAGCTGAGATCAACATAAACACCGTCCAGCAAATATACCAAGAATATACCTACCATCTCACAATTTCTCAAAATTCAACTCCTGAAAACAACCAGCATCCTGGTCTGAGGCATCTTCACAATCAACCATGGTGATGAACTTTCACCAACACTATCACCGTCATCCCACACTGCCACACTTTATAGCTTGGGCAACCACAATCAAGAAATATCACAGTGAACTCCAGTCACTGCTATCCTGTGTACAGGACTGTCTCTGCCCCACAATCACATCGTGCAACCAGCTCATCACAGCAATGCAGAGGCCCAGCCTCCTAACCAGGACACACTTCCCACTTAATAGAACCTTCATATAATGTAACTGTTGCCAATACTACTGATCTTTAACAAATTCCTTTTCTTGTTTTATTGCGTTGGTGAAGGCCTCTAAATCAATGTTACATAGCAGCAGTAACAGTGGGCATTATTTTCCTTTCTCTGACTTTAATGAATAGACATCTATGGTCTCACCATAAATACAGTGTTTTCTGAACTACTTTTTTTTTTTTTTTTTTGAGATGGAGTCTCACTCCGTCACCGAGGCTGGGGTACAATGATGTGTTCTTTGCTCACTGCAACCTGTGCCTCCCAGGTTCAAGTGATTCTCCTGCCTCAGCTTCCCGAGTAGCTGGGATTATAGGCAGCTGCCACCACGCCTGGCAGCTTTATGTATTTTTAGTAGAGATGGGGTTTCACCATGTTGGCCAGGCTGGTCTCGAACTCCCTCAGGTGATCCACCTGCCTTGGCCTCCCAAAGTGCTGGGATTACAGGCATGAGCCACCGTGTACAGCCTAAAGGACACTTCTAATCAAAGCTCGTTAAGGAGGTTTCATTTTACACTGAGTATTTATTAGTAATAGCTGTTCACATTCATCAAATGCTTTTAAAGCATAGTGAGATAATTATATGGTATGTCTCTTTATTGACATAATGAATTATATTGCTAGATTTCATAAGGTTGAACCAACCTTTCATTCCTAGAATAAATTAGACTTTGTCATGGTGTATTATTGTTTCATTATTCACTATTGGCCTTCATTGGCTGCTATATTTTTCAGATTGTCGTAGCTAAGTGGAATGAGGTTACTTTTTTTTTTTTTTTTTTTTTTTTTTTTTTTTTTGAGACAGGGTCTCACTCTGTCTGTCACCCAGGCAGAAGTGCAGTGATGGAATCACTGCTCATAGCAGCCTTGAACTCCCAAGTTTAAGCAATCCTCCCACCTCAGCCTCCTGAGTAGCTGGGATCACAGACATATGCCATCATGCCTGGTTAGTTTTTTTTTAATTTTCTTATTAGAGACAAGGTCTTACTATGTTACTCACTGCTCATAAACTCCTGGGCTCAAGCAATCCTCTCTCCTCTGCTTCCCAAAGTGCTGGGATTACAGGCATAAGCCACCACACCTGGCCTTATAATTTCATTTTCATAATAACAACCAACATGTAAGCACTTTACATAAACCATTACAACCATACAGATAGTCTTATCATTCTCACTTTAAAGATAAGGAAATTAGGGCTTAAAGAGGCCATTAGGTATCTAAAGTCATATAGGTGATAGGTGTGAATCTGAGTCTAGAACTTTCTAATGAGACACACTGCCCTTCTTAAGATTACTACCTTTGCTAGGTGCCGACTATAATTCAGCAAAAAGATTCAGGAAGCTTCCACCTTTTGCTGTGCTTTCAAGCAGTTTGAGTGACTTAGGAATCATTTGCCCCTTGGAGTTTAAAGGGATCAGATATTTTAAAACTTTTTACATTTTTCTATGGTTTTTCATCTCTTCTGGAGTTTTAGGTATCATATTTTCCTAGAAAAAGATTCATTTCATTTAGATTTCCAAATCTGTTGCATGAAACTCTAAAATTTTTTAAATCGGCTGGGTGTGGTAGCTCACACCTGTTATCCCAGCACTTTGGGAGGCTGAGGTGGGCAGATCACGAGGTCAGGAGTTCCAAAACCAGCCTGGCCAACATAGTGAAACCCCGTCTCTACTAAAAAAAATATATATATATATATATAAATTAGCTGGGCATGGTGGCAAGCACTTGTAATCCCAGCTACTTGGGAGGCTGAGGCAGGAGAATCACTTGAACCCAGGAGGCGGAGGTTGCAGTGAGCTGAGACCGCAAGACTGCACTCCAGTCTGGGTGACAAAGTGAGACTCTGTCTCAAAAAGAAAAAGTCAGGGCCGGGCGCGGTGGCTCAAGCCTGTAATCCCAGCACTTTGGGAGGCCGAGACAGGTGGATCACGAGGTCGAGAGATCGAGACCATCCTGGTCAACATGGTGAAACCCTGTCTCTACTAAAAATACAAAAAACTAGCTGGGCATGGTGGTGCGTGCCTGTAATCCCAGCTACTCAGGAGGCTGAAGCAGGAGAATTGCCTGAACGCAGGAGGCGGAGGTTGCGGTAAGCCAAGATCGCGCCATTGCACTCCAGCCTGGGTAACAAGAGCGAAAGTCCGTCTCAAAAAAAAAAAAAAAAAAGAAAAAGAAAAGAAAAAGTCAAAAATCTTCTCTGCATTTTTGGTTACATGCCTTTCCCATTCCTAATGCTGTATATTTATGTTCCCTTTCTCTCCCTTTTGTTTCCCCTTGATTTGAATTGTCCAGGCCAGATGCAGAGGTTCGCTCCTATAACCCCAGCACTCTGGGAGGCCAAGGCAGGAGGATCACTTGACCCCAGGAGTTCAAGACCAGCCTGGGCAACATAACAAGACCCTGTCTCTACAAAAAAATCAAAAAATTAGCTAGGCGTGGTGGTCTGTGCCTGTGGTCTCAGCTACATGAGAGGCTGAGGTGGGAGGATTTCTTGAGCCCAGCAGTTGAGGATGCAGTGAGCCATGATCACATCACCGCACTCCAGCCTGGGTGACCATGTCTGCAGTTGCCCAGGCTTTTCTTGAGCCAGCCTGACCCTGTCGAAAGAAAGAAAGAGAGAAAGAATGTAAGGGGGTGGGGGGAGGGGAGTAAGAGAGAGAAGGACAGGAAAGGAAAAACAGAAAGGAGAGGGAAAGGGAAGGGAGGGGAGGGGAGGGGAGAAGCTAAACTCGTGCTGGAAATGACAGTCTGCCACTTCTGGGCCTGGACTTGAAGAAATCCGAAAGCTTGTTTTCAATCTTGGAAGCCAGCCACCATGCTATGAGGAAGTCCAGCGATCCTGCTGGAGAGAGACGTCTTGGAGATCCTGGGGGGTAAGACAGCATATGGAGAGAGAAGGAGGCGACACAGAGGAGCACTGAGGCCCCAGACATGTGAGCAAAGCCTTCTGGGAGCTTCCAGCCCAGCCCAGTCACCTGCTGACTGTATGCAAGTATGCAAGTTTCGCCCTACCCTGTAGACCCAGCTTAGCCCTGACCAAACTTCGGACTCAGAGAATCTTAAAAAAAAATAAATCTGTCTAGAGGTTGTTTATTTTATTGTATTATTCTTTTTCAAATAACAAGTTTTATGTTTTTAAAACCAGATTGACATCTAATTTCTTGTTTTCTTTTCTTAC